GTAAAGGCCCTAGCCAGGCGTGCCCCAAGATAGGCTTGCCATCGTTGGGCCTAGATAGAGCGTAGAAAGGCAAATTTTGAATGGAGTTTCGTGGATTGGCTCTGGCTAGGCACTTACGAGGATACTCCTAACAAGGCCTACCATACTTGGGCCTAGATAGAGCGTAGAAAGGCAAACTTTGACTGGAGTTTCGTGGATAGGCTCTGGCTAGGCACTTACGAGGATACTCCTAACGAGGCCTGCCATACTTAAGCCTAGATAGAGCGTAGAAAGGCAAACTTTGAAGGGAATTTCGTGAATAGACTCTGACTAGGCATTTACAGGGATGCTCCTAACAAGGCCTGCCATCATTGCGCCTAAGTAGAAGGTAGAAAACTAATTCTGAATGGAATTTCGTGAATAGGCTATGGCTAGGAACTTACTAGGATGCCTCTAACAAGACTTGCCATCGTTGAGTCTAGATAGGAGCTAAACAGGTAAATTCGGAATGAAATTTCGTGAATAGACTCTATGCATAGTAGATGTCCGTAACAAGATTTGTGCTCATAGAGTTTATATGAAATATGAAGTTTAATGTTACACATTTCAATAAAAATATAATATAAATAGATAAATAAGCAGGAGGAAAAAATAGAAAGGATTTGCACAAAATTCATATTAAATTAAGACTTATATTTTTATAAACAGGCTCTTGAAATGTACAACATTGAGATATAAAGCAAATAAGAGCTAGATACTGATGTTGAAGTAAATATTTAAAAACATGTTGGGAAAATAATGTGTTTGATAATACAAACGCACGTGTCGGATATTTCCCGAGCTTTACAATGTATGCGGTGAATCAACCTTCCACCAATCCTGATTTTCAATTTTTTATAATAATTTAATTAACCTCTCTTATTATTCCTATGATGCTAAGAAATTTTGAATCTATTCTACAGTTGCGAAAAATATTGCCTCGGTCAGGACTTTAAAATGGAATCAAAATTTCTTAGTATCATAGGGAAATAAGGAGATAAATTACTATAAAAAATTGGGAATCAGAATCAGTTTGACGTGGGAGATTGATTCATTGCGTCATAAAGGTAGGGAAATATCCGACGCATGTGTTTATACTATCAAACATATTACCCTCCTAACACTTAAATATTCGTCTCAACATCAGCATTTGCCCTTATTTGCCTTGAATATCTTAATGTAGTCATAAATTAAGAATGTATTTTATTTACATTATTCTGTGTGAAGTAACGGCATAATACAAATTTTTTTTTCTTCATATGGCTGATCTTGTATATATAAATATACTAATTTACATTTTACGTGTGTTATTGGTGTATTAATTTCTTTAGTGGGATTTTCATCTTTAATTCTCCATATATTTATACGTTCTAAATGATTTTGTTTTGGCGCAGGTCGAATTCCGGCAAGCTGCGGCATGTGCTTGGCTCCTGATTAGTCATCGCAGCTGTTTGCCGGAGCTCATCAGATACATGGAATCTTAGCAATTATAAATAGCATTAGATTCACGCCAAGAAAGCGTACAAAAGTCGATCGCATGACTGACAATGAGTCGGAGCGAGAAAAAGCGAAAAGGAGAGCATGAGCTTGCTGTCTCGCTCAGCGCATGGAAGATCGCCAAGCGCGCGAAAGATCTTTGAATGCAACTGTTTCATAGTACTGGGGCTCGATTCCTAACGACGTGCGAGTGAGATGCGTATGCGAAAATGTACAGTTCACGTAACATATAATATAGATTTTCGCATGCGCATCTCATTCGCACGCCGTCAGGAATCGAGCCTCTGCTAGACTTTCTTTCATGCGCATGTGCGCGAGAGTTTCCTGCGGACTGGCAATAGTGACCAGGGGGTTCAAACTCCCCGTATTTTTTGGCTCCGGAAGTTCAGTTCAGTGGTCGGTGCTCCAGGCGGCAGCACAGTCGATCCCTCTCTTTTCCTCTCTCTTCCCCTTGCCTATAAGTTGATTTTGACTTGTTTTGCCTTGACCGTTAATGGTTAAACAATTCAATACAGCATAGTGCAATTAACGCTAAACGCAAATTTTTCAGTGCTATTAGTGTTTATGTAGTGAATATTCTGTAATATATCAGGTGTAGTAAAAAGAAATCCATTATTTTTCCAATAGATGGCTTTAGTTATCTGTATCTCGCGTTATATAAGTCCGATCGGGTCCCACTAGATGGCGTTAGAAAGATGAGATTTCGTACTAAAAAAACTTTTCTGACAGTTTTGTGATTAGTTGACTCAGTTTTGTTTGAGCGCGCGTCAAAGATGGACACTAGCAAAGAGAAAATACGCTATATTTTACAGTTTTTCTTCGATAAAGGCGAAAACGCAAGCCAGGTGGCTGAAAATGTGAATAGTGTTTATGGTCCTGATACTGTAACAGCCAATCACGCGCAATTTTGGTTTCGTCGATTCCGTTCCGGTAATTTCGATGTCAAAGATGCACCACGCACTGGAAGGCCAATTGTTGAAAATATCGATAAAATCATGGACATTGTCGAGTCCGACCGTCATGTAAGCACTGTTTCGATTGCCCAAGAGCTAAAGATTGCACAAAAAACCGTTTGGAACCATTTGAATAAGGCTGGATACAAAAAGAAGCTCGATGTATGGGTGGTGCCACACGAGTTAACGAAAAAAAACCTCATGGACCGAATTTCCATCTGCGAATCGCTGCTGAATCGCAACAAAATCGACCCATTTCTGAAGCGGTTGGTCACTGGTGATGAAAAGTGGATCACTTACGACAACGTCAAGCGAAAACGGTCGTGGTCGAATCGCGGTGAGCCGGCGGAAACGGTGGCCAAGCCAGGATTGACGGCCAGGAAGGTTCTGCTGTGTGTTTGGTGGGATTGGCAGGGAATTATCTACTATGAGCTGCTCCTCTACGGCAAAACTCTTAACTCGGAACTGTACTGTCAACAATTGGACCGTCTGAAGGAAGCAATCGCCCAGAAGCGGCCAGCTTTGACCAATAGGAGAGGAATTGTGTTCCATCAGGACAACGCCAGGCCACACACATCGATAGTGACTCGCCAGAAGCTCCGGGAGCTTGGTTGGGAGGTTCTTATGCATCCACCTTATAGTCCGGACCTGGCAGCAAGTGATTACCATCTGTTCCTGTCCATGGGGAACATTTTGCTGGTGAAAAATTCGCTTTAAGAGAGGCTTATGAAAATCGACTGTCTCAATTTTTTGCCAATAGGGTCGAGGGCTTCTATGAGAGAGGCATAATGAAATTACCTTCAAAATGGCAACAAGTTATCGAACAAAACGGCGCATATTTGACCTAAATCGGATAATTCTAACTATGGTAATTAAAGCCTTCAATTTCATGCAAAAGTAATGGATTTCTTTTTACTACACCTAATATTATAACGTGGTATTTTTTCATTTTTAGTTGTATAGTAAATTATAGTATTTAAGTGTATAAGTGATTTATAGTGTTTAAGTATTTAATTGATAGTGTTTAAGTGATTTATAGTGTTTAATTATTATAGTGTTTAATTATTATTAGTGAATAATAGTGATTGCATTACATATATATAGTTATTACAATATTTTATGTATCCTTATGATATTAGATAATATATTATATATTATTAGTTCATATATTATTTATTATATTAGATATTATTGGGTGAGTGCAAAAGTTCGTGCGGAGTTTCAATAGATGGAGTTATAAGCGTCGTAAAGTGTTGTCATTAATACTTCCATCTACATATTATATAACGTTGGAAAGGTGACGTCTTCAGCTGTTATTAAAAAAAAATCATTTATTTTCATACAAACTGCTTCGAGAAATATCACTTTAAAAATGAGTATCGATAAGGTGCATTTACGGCATGTTATGCTTTACGAGTTTCGGAAGGGAATAAACGTTGCCGCAGCCGTAAAAAACATTCAGGATGTTTATCAGGATGAAGCACCAGCTAAACGAACTGTGGAAAAATGGTTTGCTAAATTTCGGCGCGGAGAATTTAACCTTGAAGACGAGCCACGCTCTGGTCGACCTTCTGACATTGATGACGATGTTTTGCGTACTTTAGTGCTCAATAATCCGCGAATTTCAACAGAAGAAGTTGCTACTACTCACTAAACGTTGACCGATCAACCGCTTTTCGGCGTTTAAAAAAGATGGGATTCGATTTGAAGCTCGATATATGGGTGCCATTTGCTGACCGAGAAGAACAAAATCAAGCGAATTTCTGCAGCCGTTTCTTTACTCGGGCGGCTCAATAACGAGTCGTTTTTGGATCGACTAGTGACGGGCGATGAGAAATGGGTCCTCTACAACAATGTTCAGCGCAAACGGACATGGAAACAATCAGGTGAGCATGGTGACGCAATGCCAAAGGCCAGTTTGCACCCGATGAAGGTGATGCTCTCTGTTTGGTGGGATTGCAAGGGCATAATCTATTTCGAGCTTCTCCCCGCTGGCGAAACGATTGATTCGGACAAGTACTGTCGCCAATTAACCAATCTGAATCGAGAAATAAAAGAGAAACGTCCGATTTTGTCAAATCGCAAGGGAGTCGTCTTTCATCACGACAACGCCAGACCACACGTTTTGAAAAAGACGCTGCGCAAACTGAAGAGCCTGAAATGGGATGTCTTAACGCATCCACCGTATTCTCCTGATATCGCACCATCTGACTATCACTTGTTCCGGTCATTGCAAAATTATTTAAATGGAAAAAACTTTGACTCTTTGGAGGCCTTAAAAAACGGCGTCTCTTCGTTCTTCGAATCTAAACCGCGCAGTTTTTATGATCGAGACATCCGTATGCTGCCAGAACGTTGGGAAAAGATTATAGAAAACGATGGAGAATATATCATTGATTGAATAAAGATTTTTGTTTGCCTAATCACTGTGTGACTTTTACTCACAAACTCCGCACGAACTTTTGCACTCACCCAATATAATATATATTAGATTTCAATTTATTATATAATTTATTATAGCTATTAGTTATAGTTATAGTTATAGTTATAGTTATAGTTATAATACAATTAAAATTTTAGCTACATTTATAGAAACATGGTGCATAAATGTTGTGTGCCCAATTGCACATCAAATAAAAATATTCCAAGGCACCAATTTCCAAAAGATGTGCAACGAACAGAAATATGGCTTGCAGCAATAAAAAGAACAGACTTGATTGGTAAGTGTATATATATATTTCTATATGCTTGTTTATTTTGTTCTTTCTTCCTCTTTCTCTCTCTCTCTCTCTCTCTCTCTCTCTCTCTCTCTCTCTCTCTCTCTCCCTCTCCCTCTCTCTCTCTCTCTCTCTCTCGCTTTCCTTTTCTTTATATATATACAAGGGCAGTTTGAAAAGTTCTTGGCCTAACAATAAAAGAAAATTGTTTTTGCCGTGAAATATTTTATTTTTCAATATAATCTCCTGAAACTTCAATACATTTATTCCAACGTTTTTCCAATAATTCAATACCATTAAAGTGTGATTCCGGAAGGTCCTTTTCGCTCTGCTGTATCCAAATTCGCTAGTAGTGGATCCTAGTTTCATCAACAGTTATGAAACAACGCTTGATATCCATTTTATTTTGCTTAAAATGATCCAAACACGCTTGAGAAATACGCATTCGAATGCGTTTTTGGTCAATTGTTAGCAAATGCGGCATCTATCTTGCACAAAGCTTTTTCAACTGGTGCTGCTACTCGAATGACTTGACAAATCGAATAAAATTTTACATGGGTTTATATCAGGGATGCCATTTTCCAATACAACTATAGTTTGACAGTTTCTAATGCCATGTATATGTCAGGTCGAGAACTTTTGAGACTATGTTTACGTATATACCCCTGTAGCATTCAAGATCATTATGTCACAATGAAGTCACATTATAATGACGTGTGAATGTTCGCATTATTACAGGCATGATATCACTATTACATCACTGTTATTCAACTGGGAATTTCACCTCATAGTAATGTCACTGACATCATGTCTGTGATAATGCGGACATTCACATAATATAATATGTTAATATGACTTCGTTGTGACATAAATGCTTGTGATATAATGACCTTAAATGCTACGCGGGTATATTTTATTAATTTTGAAATTTATTTGATATATGTTTCTGCATTTATATATATATATATATGTGTAAATAAATGCGTATGTTTTAAATATAGTCTCTTTTTTATGTGTTACAGGTGTACAAAGGGAAATATTAGATAAGTTAAGAATTTGCACTATTCATTTTTCAAATGATAGTATTTATAATTATACTCAAAGACGAATTTTAAAAAGTAACGCTATTCCATCATTATATTTACCGAGTGAAATAAATGACGATATTGAAGAACCTAGAATTATAATTAATTATGATGCGTTTGTGCATAAATTATGTGCTTTGCATCACATTTTTTAATCACACCGGATTTTTTTATGTTTATATCCGACAGTTCGTAGTCTGTTTAAAGTGGGACGGGAAAATGTTATGTAAAGCATTTTTATATGTGAATTACATTATATATATATATATATAATTTATAATTTAGCAATACATGTAACACGATTCAACATTATATTACTATTTTTACTATTTTTTTTCAAATAGTTTACTTATTACATTTACCTGTTATATATATTTTGTTATATTTTAATTTTTGTGCAACAAAAAACTAATAAAAATAATATGTAATTATGTTCTATCTTAATGTAATTAAATGTACAAATGTATACATTGATAAATATCTTTATGTGCATTGTAATATATTTTAATAATATAATATTAATGTATATATATTATAATCCTCCCAATAATATTGTTTGCACAAATTAATAACAAAGTAATAAGTTTCTGAGCGATGTTATTAAGTTTAACTGTTATTTACTATACTTAAGATTACAAATGAAAACTATTTTAAATTTGTGAAACATTTTTTACGTAGTTTTAAGTAACGTAAATAACATTTAAACTTTACAATATCGCTCAGGAACTTATAAATTTAATTTTAATATCTATAAGTACCCTAATAACAACATTTTAGCAGACTGACGGCAGACTGACGGCAGATTGAATTAGAGGTTTACAGCAGATTGGTGCCAACTGTTTATCCATTGTGCCCACATTCTGACGGCAGAGTCTGGCAACATTATTTGATAGCAGACTGATGCCAGAAACAAAGCAGATCTGACGTACATAGTCTAGTGATAGATTGGCGGCAAAAACGTATCAGATCCTGACGTACGCAGTCTGGCGGCAGATTGACGGCAGAAATACAACAGATTCTGCAATGCGCAGTTTGGTACCAGAATGACGGCAGAAACGTAACAGATCCTGACGTACGCAGTCTGGCGGCAGATTGACGGTAGAAATACAGCAGAATCTGCAATGCGCAGTCTGGCACCAGAATGACGGCAGAAACGTAACAGATCCTGCCGTTCACAGCCTGACAGCAGACTGGTTACATTACTACAACAGATTACATTAATACAACAGATTCTGCCATATTCATTTTTACAATCCTCCCCTTTTCCCATTCAGTCATGCACATTACGTGAAGGTAATTATTATAAAACAACACAATATACGAACGTAAGTGTTTTCATTTATCACACAAGACAAAACGAGACAGCCAATCAGATTCACAATGGTGTTTATCGTAAATGGCGGAACACGAAGGCGACGATGTTTCTTCTCATAGCCTCAGGAAGCGGCGACACACGATGACTTTGAGACGATGTTGGAGCAACTAATAACAGGGTTTACTGATAATAGGGAACGGTGAAGTGGCAATCTGCTGCGATATCTGTAAATTGAAATTATATTACAGTTGCATCTTTCTAACTACAGTTATGTATAATATATGTTTAAGTAAATACATGAATTGAAAGTTACATTGTATTAATGTTACAATTTCCCACAGTAAATACAATACACGTGTCGTATTCATAGTGACATAGCAAATTGTAGCATCGATACATTGTGATTCTTAATAATTGCTGGGATGAGATGGGAAAATCAGAGAAATCTGGATAAAAATATTTACCTATGTTTCTTGCGTTTTTCGGTAATGGATTCGTCGATCCTCGGTGACATCTGTGATGACCTAAACATGTAAAATGTCCGGGAGACACCATAAATTCGACACAGAGTACCAATTATCTGTGCCCAGAAGTCGAAATTATTTGCCCGTTTCAACCGATTTTTAAGAGCTACCTATTTCTCTTGTCTCTCCGTTCGTCCAAAGGTCCCTACAAGTGACGGTCACGCCGCCTAGGTATAAGCTGTCATGTATCATTTGTAGGAATCTTCGGAAAGAGAAGAGAAGAGAAGTAGGCGTAGCCTTAAAAAATCGGTTAAATCGGGCAAGTAATGCGGGAAGCACACACTTTTGCGTAATGCATAACGCATAAGGAAATGAACAATCAGAATCTTTTATTTTAAGCGTGGCAATAGAAATGAAAGACTCTGATTACTATAAAACAATAAATAAATAAGATAAAATAAATAAATAAGAAATAATAAAAATAAATATATATACATATAGTTTAATAAATATACATGCTAACAAAGAATTACATTTATTACAGAGAGACCACATCTGCTACCTAACCAGAAGTATCAAATGAATGCTGGTAGCAAATTTAGTTGCAATGCGTTCGACAGAGCGCATACAAACGAACAACGTGTACGTGTGCTCTAAACTATAGCGCTTGGTGCTATAGTTCGTGATGAATAGAACACACGTACACAGTTATTCGCTCATGTGCGCTCGGCTGCACGCACTGTAGCTATATGCTACCAGTGTCCTGAATTTGGCACTTCTGGGCCTAGCCAGGCAATCCAATACAGTACCTAGTTAAGTGTTACAAAATAGGGCTAGTTAGGCGTGCCAAGATAGAGCCTAGTTAAACGTGCCAAGATAGAGCCTAGTTAGATGTGCCAAGATAGGGCCTAGTTAGGCGTACCAAGATAGAGTCTAGTTAGGCGTGCTACGATAGAGCCTAGTCAGATTTACTGATTTGGCAGTGCGATGTGGAAGCGTTACATTCTGTGCAGAGCCTAGATGAGCTTGCCTTTACAGTGCCTAGATAGAAGTGGGGAAAATCTGTCTAGGCTCTTTTCAGCCCCGTTTTTAATTTCTACCCGAGAAGGGGCGACAATTCCTCGGGCTTGCGTCGTGGTACCGACGATTCATCCCGGGCTTCTCTGCGCTAGCCGCCCCACTCACCAGGCTCACGCAGAAGGACGCGAGGTGGAAGTGGGACGCGGACGAGGACGCCGCAATGGCTGCGCTGAAGGAACGGCTGACCACAGCGCCAGTGCTCGCGTGCCCGGATTTCCGGGAGCCCTTCCAACTGCAGACGGACGCGAGCACGGAGGGGCTGGGAGCCGTCCTCACGCAGCGGCTGGACGGATCCGAACGCGTAATTACATACGCGAGCCGGACACTAAATCGTGCCGAGAAAAATTACAGCGCGACCGAGTTGGAGTGCCTCGCCGATCTGGGGGATAAGGCGAATGCGCGACTACCTGGAGGGCTATCGTTTCACGGTGGTCATGGATCACCAAGCCCTTCGGTGGCTGCGCAGCTTGGAAGCCCCCATCGGGCGACTAGCCCGCTGGGCCTTCGAATTGCAGCAATATGAATTCGAGGTGCAATACCGGCGAGGCGCTCTTAATACGGTCGCCGACGCGTTATCGCGACGACCCGAGGTGAGCGCCATAATCGCGGAAAACGGTTGCCCCTGGTACCGCCGCATGAAAGCACGAGTAACCGCGGACCCCGCCGCCTGGCCAGATTACGTCATCCAGCAAGACCAGCTCCTCCGCCATGTCCTGCATGAGCTGGATTTCCGCGAAGTACCAGCGGAGGAGCAGTGGAAGGTGTGCGTACCTCGGGAACAACGTGCCGGAGTTCTTCGCCAGCTCCACGAACCCGCCGCCGGCCACTTGGGGAAGCGCAGACGATCGCTCGCGTGGCCCGCCGGTATTATTGGCCCGGCATGTTCCGGGACGTGGCCCGACATGTCCGGGCCAGCGAGACATACCTCGCTTACAAGGCGACATAGATCAAACCCAGCCTTCTGCACGCCACCGCGGTAAAGGGACCGTGGGAACAGGCCACCGTAGACCTGATGGGCCCTTTGCCGCGGTCGACCGGCGGCCATGCGTGGGTTATCACCATGCAAGATCGCTTCTCTAAGTGGCTAGAAATGCGACCGCTCCGAAGGGTGACGACGGGGGCGGTGGAATGGGCGATCACCGAGGGCATTATCCACCGACACGGCTGCCCTCAAACAATAGTTTCCAATAACGGGAAACAATTCCATTCCGCGCAATTCGCGAAATTTTGCAGGGCCTTCGGCATCCGTCACTGCACCACACCTGTCTACGCGCCGCATTGTAATCCGGTGGAGCAGACAAATCGCGTAGTCAAAACAATGAACGCGCAATTTGTAGGGAAGAACCACCGCAAGTGGGACACCCAACTAACCGCGCTACAATTTGCGTACAACTCTGCCGTACAGGACTCAACAGGCTACAGCCCGGCCTTTTTACTCAACGGGCGGGAGTTGAGTCTCTGGACAGAGACCCGCACCGCCGCACAGTGGGACAAATGGGTCCTTTTGTGGACAAAAGTCGCTAGACGGCGTAATTCTTAACCGATTTCAATGCTTTTTTTTTTAATTTACTCGCAATGAATTGCTCTACAATCATATCGAGCCCGTTTTTTAAGTTAGGCCCTCAATTCAAAATAGCGGATGCGCAAATTTGTCAAATGTATAAAACCTATAAAATATCGAATATTTTTAGATCGGACAAAGTTTATACGGGATTTTAAGGTCTCCGAGATACATATGTAAGATCGAAATTCACAGTTTTTGCCAGTAGAGAGGATCTGCAGTGGCCCGATATATTTTATACCTGCCTGGTATCCTCACATTATCAATGTATTCTACTAATGAGTTTGCGTATATATATTGCATATACAGGGTGTGCCAAAAGAAGCGGGACGGTCGAATATTTCGCGAAATTTACATCGGATCGAAAAATTGAAAAACACGTGTTCAATATTTTTCAAAAATCTATCGAACGACACCAAATACGACCCCCCACCCCCACCCCCTGGGGGTGGGGCGAGGGGCAACTTTGAAATCTTAAATGGGAACCCCCATTTTTTATTGCAGATTTGGATTCCTCATGAAAAAATAAGTTACTTTTATTCGGGACATTTTTTTCGAATTGTTGATGGCGCTGTAATCGCAGAAAAACAAATACAGATCAGAAGTCTGCAAACGGTCAAATTTGTCGGGACATACGCTTCGGAACACAAAATTAGTATTTTTGAAAAGGCTATCTAATGATGCTACAGTAGACCGATAGATGGCGCTCTAATTGCAAAAACAATTCTTTCTCGCAAGTGAAAGTATTTCTACAGCTAATATGAGGTTAACGTCTTTCGTTGATTTTGTATCTGACTTTATTAAAAAACTACGTTTAGCATAATCCAGGAACAACGACGTGGACGTAGTAGTTTTTTGTTCCCTTCGGGGTGCTTGTTTTTAGTGAGTCCCCTTGCCTCTCACTTATCGGGGTGCTTGTTTTTAGTGAGTCCCCTTGCCTCTCGCTTATCGGGGTGCTTGTTTTTAGTGAGTCCCCTATAAAATACACTAGGTAATAAAACATTCGAAGAATTATAAATTGACGAACCTCACTTTATTAACGATAAACTGTATTCTTGTAGTAGCTTTCGGCTTCTCTACCAGCCATTATTCAATAAGCAAATTAAAAATAAACCTGTCGAAAACTAATCTATTGAAGTAGAAATGAAAATGTTTGTGATTCCATACTCGTGTTACGTCCTAGAGGAGGAACGCAACCCTTTCGTTCGCGAGTAAGGCGAACCTCGTTCGTACACGCGTGTCAGTGAACGGGTCAGGGACCCGACGGGTCCCTTTACTCGGGCACCGACGTACGACGAGTGGTCCGTTTTTCGGTCAGGGACGCGAATCCCTTTACCGGGGATAGGACCATGAGTTGACTGTTGGAAGGGTATATGTGATTTTGAAATCAATTGGAAAAAGAATGAAATATAAACAGATTTATTAAAATAACAAAATGAATTACGGCGCGGTTCAATACAGTTGAGGAATGACTGTGTATGTGTATGTGTGTATGTATGAGAAGTGAAAGAAGGAGGAAATAATAAAAAAAGGTAGGAATATGAGTAAAGAATTAGTCGGGTGAGGGGGAGCGTGAGTGGTCGGGTGAATTTAAGGGAGTGGATAGTTCGGAAAACGTGGTGGAGGGTTATCCCTATGTTGTTATAATGACCCACTAAAACGGATTTCAATAATATGGGGAATTAATAAGATGGTGGTAGAAAAGGTAGAAGCAAAAAAAAACAGAACTTACTGCTGACTCCTGTTATCCTGAAGGTGAGCAAAAATAAAATTGATGTTTGGTAGCTCCTGCTCGATAGGTCACGTTGTGCTCGTCCACTCCCTTCCAATTGTCCGATTATGGCACAATAGCAGTGATTCAAACTTTTTATTTTTTTTTTAGTCCCAAAAATAAATAAATAAAACAGAGGACGTAAAAGAATATGTAGTACCGAAACAAAACCGAAGACGAATTTGAGTCTAAGGACGTGTTTTTACAAGTCTGATTTTTGAAACTAGAATCTATGTGAATCTGTTCTTTCTGTCTCTCAGAATAGAAGTAACGGTAGAAGTTGAAGTAGAAG